CTGAATAGATAGATAGATAGGCTGAATTTCTATGTGGAACAGAATAAGTTTCATAATAAGGTAGAAAATTTTAATTCTTAATCAGGAATGAAAAAAATGTAGTTTGCTTATTATGTAAAAGTAATTGCTTTGGTGTATTTAACACTAGTATTACTTTTTAAGATCTTTCCTTTTTCCATTGAAAATAATTTCCTGCCCACTTAGTGTTTGTGCTCGACCTACTTTAAGAGTGCATGGCTTTATTTGTCAATATATTATATAGATGAATAGTCACTGCACACTATTGAAAGAAGTTACATGTTTATGTTACATTATTTATTATAGTTATTTTTGCCAATGCAGAAAATTTTCTTTCCAATAGGTGGGATACAAAAAACCATACATGGCGTGTGTCTGAACTACTAAAACCCCTTGTCGTTCACCTGGAATGGAAGAAAGGAGGAAAAACAGTATATGAATCAATAAACTATGCTGGCTATGTTGGAGTTCTCACTGCAGTCAAGAAGGTATGCCGTAATTTTTAAGTCCTTATTTCCTTATATTAGTGGTAATGCCATTATATTTTCAGACTGGATGAAAAATAAACATTTCATATACTTTGAGCGATTTATAAAATATTCATTAGAACTTTTATAGAAAGATGTTTTTGAAATTTACATGTATTTTCAGGAAAAATTCACCTTCAGTTTAGACGAGAGATTCGTATTAAATGGTGGTTATATGGGATTTCTGGAGTGGATCCTTTTCAAGGATTATTCACAAAAGTAAGTAGTTTTCACATAATAAAATAAAATGTTGATGAGTGTTAGATAATGTACGTTTACTTATATGCTTTCACATATATGAAGGACATGTTCTTTGAAAAATAAATTTAAGTTTCTGTTATATATTTATTTATTTTTATTTATTTATTATTATTATTATTTTTTTTTATGAATGTGATATTTAATGAAGTGAATAATTAATCAAGAAAGATTGAAGGTAATTGCTAGAAAACCTGCTCAGAGAGAACCACCACTTCTTTTTGTGTTATGAAAAAACAAAAATAACATATTACATATTGTAATATGTAAGAAGAACTTAGTAACTTGTGAAGGAGCAAATTGGAATTTTGTTGCAATGTGTGTGGCTGAAGAAAAGAATCCTCAAAGTGGTCCTTGTATAACTTGTCTGCTATCTGATAAAAATTATTTGATTAAATCATTGTCTGTAGGTAAAATGCATAGATATTTTGTTTGCATTAACAAACATAAACTGAATTAGAGACTACTGCTTAGTTTCTTCCTTTTTTTTTTATTAAAGATGGGTATCATTCTTGACACGAGAAGTAATGGAAGAAGCCCAAAACTATGAAGAAGCAAAGAAAATGTTCTCACATTCTCGTCTAATTGCACCAGCATACTTCATCCTCGGTGGCTCAAAACCTAGAGAGGCAAGTATAGCCACTGTTAGACAGAATGGATCTTAAGTACTTTTCTGATAAGCAAATGAATATCTGTATAGTATACTGATAATTATTTAGCAAATAAGATACTGATTATTCACATGTAACTAGGTGGGATTGTATTTTACAGGGCACCATTATTACACGATGGCGAGACAACTTCCACACAGACGACCTCTTCTCAAAAAAATCTGGCTCAGGAACATGGTATCTGGTAGAAACAAACTATGACCAGTGGAAGTCACCTCCATTTTACGATGACAGGAGGACGCCTGCTGTCACCTGTTTGGATAAGTCGGGACAGAAGAATGCATCTCTTGCACTTATTTACAATGTTCTTTCAACAAAACCTGTTTTCAATAAGGTAGGTAAACCTTTTAAATTCTGAGGAGCAAAAACTGTACACTTATATAGAAAAGATAAGTTCTTTCCGCCAAATGATGATTGAAAAGGGAGTATCGACAGTATATGATACAAACTAAAGAATGTACTAGTGATAATTTAGAATTAGGATGACAAATTATGATTTAAAATACCAAAGATAAAAAAGTATTTTTAGATTACAAACATCACTTTTCTTTTAGAAAATATAAATTATCTTGGGATATTCTGGTACCCATTTTCAAATTTTCTTCATGAAAGCAGTTAAGATATGATAAGATCTGAAGAAAAGTTGCCGTTGATATGTAATTAGGCCTATGACATCAGTATCTGTCTAAATTTGTAAAATCTCGCAAACCAAAGACCATCTGTTTGACATCCATGAAAAATAATATGAATTATTTAGTAGTATTGCAATAGCGATCAGTCTTTGGTTGAATTTGTCATCAAAAACAGGTAAGATAATTCTCTAACCAGAGAATGGAGTCATTGTTTAATGCAGGAGGTATGAGGTAAAAAGTATAAAGGCACTGTTTAACCCATTGGCGCCGGGTGTCATTTACGTACATGCCATGGCTGTTGTGGACCAAATGCCGGAGGCATCATGCCATGCCCATTCCCGTGCTACTGGCTCGTCGGAAGGAGGTTGTTTTTCTCCACTAGTAGCGGCTTCATTTATATGGTAAAGATTTTAGGCAATGGCACCTAAAGTGAAGGTAAACCTTCAAAATTTTAATATTTTTATAAATTATAGCAAAATAAAAGCTTTTAGGTGCTATATGTCGCTCACAAACTACCGATCGAGCCAGGCGCAAACAGGGGAAACTGCCAGTGCGCGCCAGCAAGCCGGTGCATACGTAAACTTGACAAAATTTTTACCCGTCGCTGATGGGTTAAAGGAGTCCGTTAACACCTGTCTGAGGGGTGCAGTTTTTTTTCTAATGTTTTCTAAAGAGGCTAATATTATCTTGTTTTTATTCATTATTTACTTTTGTTTTGTCTCTAGGTATCATTACTTATGTCTGTCAAATTAAATAATTGTCAAAGTAGATATTGCTCATTTATTAATGAGACACTAAATATATTTTTTCCAGTCTCTTCATTCACATATATCAAGTTTAATCATTGTTATAAGAGACATTGATCACATCAGAGACATACTCTTTGTTTTTTCTTCAGAGAAACAGATAGTATAATTAATTGCTCCAAGTTCTGCACACATAGGTTATCAACATAAAGACTTATCATAGCAGAGACAACACTTAGACATTAGTAAAATACACTACAGCTTTTTTTTTCATTACAGCTGACTACTTACACAAGTCTGATGGATGTGCAAGAAGGTTACATAGGTGCATGGCTCAGATACTGTGAAGATCCTTGCTGGCCATGGTGAGCTAAGTTCTTTCGTGCCAAGTGATTGAGGTTTCCAGTTTACACAAGAAACATTGTTATATTCTCAATTAGGGAAATATCAATGTAGTAATGGGCATTGTGGAAACCATGACTACCTAAAGAGAAGTCTGTTATATACAGCGACTTCCTTTTTTATAAGTTTATATATGTCATGTATTTATATTTTGTTTTCAACTTTGTATAATTTTTGTTATGCATGCTATTCATAGCTCTATTGTGCTAGAGTTCCTGTCATATTCTGTATAGAAATCTGTTTGTATAACAATATTGTTTATACTGCATAAAGATACATTTGATGATCTATTTGATAAATTAATTTCATTTCAATTAATTTAATTGAAATTATAAAAAATGGCATTCATATGAATGATTACATTATATAATGATAAACAGTATTGTTGATTTATTATATTAAGTTTCTTATATATTTATTTGTTTTTCATGCTAAATGAAAAGCTAAACAGAGAACAACACAAGCTGATTTTTTTTCCCCCCAATTACTTGATCTGTGATTTGCAACCAAGTACAGTACTGTATTAACAGTAATATTACAAGTCAGTATTTTTATTTATAAATCCATATTTTATTGACATTGTTTTAGTAAAAACATTTTGTGAATCAAATTTGCATGACATGTATTTTAACTGTGTTAACACGTTTAAACACAAATGCTTCTAGGGAATCCACGAAGCATCCAACAGGTTTTGACTTTTCTTTATTGAAAGGAACTCTCTCAAGCATGCATATGTAATGCATGTCTTTAATTTTGCGCATAAATGATTATATTAATTTGTGGAACTTCCAAATTAGTGAAGTATTTGTAAACTTGTGATTTGTCCCAGTGCATAAGATAAGTACATCACCAGTGTAAATTTGCAATTTTTGTATATTGAATACACATCAACATACACACAAAACTGAACAAGCGAACAGAGATACACAGACATATATATTTATCTCAACCAAAGATTATACTGTATTTATATAAATGTATGTAAATATACAATTCTGTTACATATGTGTACTAGAATGTATTTGTGCTTTCAAAGTGTGGTCTAACTACAGGGTATTGGGCCACTTATGTATTAATTTTGCCTGGCCTGCAAGCCCTTATATATTAATTCATGGATTCATTTTTAAAGAAGTTTTTATAAAAAGTACTGTACATGTGTATGATGTATGTGAAAATTAAGTTACTAGAATGACATTGAAGTAGATGAAGATCATGATTAACATAGGAGTACAGTACAGGCATTATTTGTTTATGAATATTTGTAATCATAGCCTAATGGAATTCATGCTAAAGTGGCTACTAGGGTTGAAGTTGAACCACACTGTGTGAACATTTGTAATATAGATGTATTCATGTGTGATTATTTTTTAATATTTTGAATGTATTTGGTAAATAATATAAAACAAGTGAATATATTTTTGAAAATATGAATGAATTGTTGATTATTTAACATTAGGTATTCAGTATATAGTATCTTTGATTCCAGTCTCCTAAAAGTAGAAGAAAATATGAACAAGGAAGAGTAAATCCACAATGCAAGATGAGTAATCGACATTTCCTTATTGTCGGAAATACATGTAATATGAAAATGTTTATCTTACATTTTGTATATGGAAATCATTCACTCACATTTATACCTGCTTCTATGGCACAGTTCTCTCTCTCTTCTTCATAACATGATAATGTGAGCAGATGTCACAGTAAGATTCAGATGATCTGAGCCATTAATTATACACTTCCAACAAATTATTTGTTTTATTAATCCATATGGGAAACCTCTACCTGATTTACTTAATGGCCCTGAAAAACGGTGAGGAAAAAAAAACAGGGAAATAGTGATTTTGGAGCATTCTTTTGAATCCCCTATTTAACAGGCAAAATAAGTTCAGATGTTTACGAAAGTATAACTAAACATGATTTGAATTTCCAAAAGGTACTATTAAGTTGCTTAATTAACCCATTATTCTAGAATCTACTCAAATTAGCAAATTAAAAAAATATATATTTCCATACTTTATTCCAGAATGATATGAGGAAGATTTTCTCAGAGTTTGTCACCCTACCTACTTTGAGCCATTTCTTTTTTTTCAAGCAATACTCCATTCTTTCATTTGTATCCAAACATATAGGGTAAACAGTTGAATCCCACCTAGGTTAGACAAAACTTGTACATGTTAGTGCACAGCATTGATTTTGGGGATGGTGGAGAGGAAGAGTGCCTCAAAGTACCTTGTTTAGATAATGTAATTGCCTATTGCCAGCTTAGGTTGTGGAATGTGATGCAGCGTTGCAGTTCCCCAAATCCAGGCTCTCATTTAACTATGACTCTAACCTTGCTACTACTAACCACTCCTCATATCTTATCACCTCAGTCAAGTCCAAATCAATCTACCAAGGTCATTACCTCACCATCAGAAAACATTCCTCTCCCAGCATCATCTACTTCATCCCTTTCCTCTTCCAAAGTAGGGGATCACCCCTACCTTGAACCTCAGCCCTTGCCTTAAATAATTTTGCACAATCTCTATTTCTCCCCCTTTCCTCTTCCATATCTGCATCCCCTTCTGTCCCATTTCTTAGGCGTGACAGCTGTGCTGAAAGGATGAAAGGCTGGCTTTGTGTCAGTCATGAAAAGCTCTGGGATCCATGGGCACGGTTTTCCCTTGGTTAATTGCCTAGCCCTTATCCTTTATGGGGACCTTGAGAGGGAGACCATTTCTTTTCCCAATTTCATTCAGGCTCATCATGGCCAATAATGAAGATTGTTTAAACTTATTTTGGGCAGCAAGGCTTGTCCCTTCATCAACTAGCCTATCTGAATTTTATTTCATTGGTTTTCCAACCCTTGCCCCCCCCTATGACCACGACTCCAACCACAGATACCCCTTCCTTGATGTTTACTGACAATTTTATCCATTCCGAACCACCCATCCAAGTCATTACTCTACCTTCAGAATCCACCCCTTCCTCTCTCCCAACATTCTCTAATCCATCTCCTGCAGCACAGTCTTCTTCATTGTCTATCCCCCCTCTTCCCTTATCACTACTCTTCATCTTTATTGTCCTTCCCCCCACAGAACTACTCCACTCCACACCACCACATCTTCATCCTTCTGCCCTCACTTCTGCAAATCTTTTGAGTACTCTCTTCGACCTAGCCACGCGGGACCAATTCTTTGATTTCCTCCACAGCCCCTTACTTTGCGAATACCCTTCTCTTCCAACAATGTCTCCAAAAACAAGCCTTGTCATATTTACATCTGAATCCCAAGCTCATGCACTATCTATCCTAACTGACCTCACTGGGACACCCATTCCTGTTGATCCTCTCCCCTCTTTTAATACTTGTACTAGAACTTTTTCTGTCTCCCTGACTGATTGTCCTTTCTACAACAAGAAATGGTCAGATGTGAAAATGACCTACTTGCCTGCCATGATTATGATGCAGTGGCAGTACAATGCTTCCCCTGCCACATCCTCTCCTACACCTTTCTCTTCCTCTGCTCCTCAGACATCTACCTCCTCTTCTCCTCCTCACAACAGAACCTTTGTTTCTCAGTCCTCTTCACCCAACTCCCTTCCAGGAACTCATGAAGACATCCAAAACTTCTTATGCATTTAAAGTATTTGCCGATATCCATCCTCCTCTTCCTCAAATTCACCCTATCCCCCTTCCTCCTACTCCAACACTTTCCCAACATACTCCATCCTTTTCTCTCTTCTTCTTCTTCTTCTTCTTCTTCTTCTTCTTCTTCTTCTTCTTCTTCTTCTTCTTCTTCTTCTTCTTCTTCTTCTTCTTCTTCTTCTTCTTCTTCTCTTCTTCTTCTTCTCTTCTTCTTCTTCTTCTCTTCTCTCTTCTTCTTCTCTTCTTCTTCTTCTTCTCTTCTTCTTCTTCTTCTCTTCTTCTTCTTCTTCTCTTCTTCTCTTCTTTCTTCTTCTTTCTTCTCTTCTCTTCTTCTTCTTCTTCTTCTTCTTCTTCTTCTTCTCTTCTTCTTCTTCTTCTTCTTCTCTTCTTCTCTTCTCTTCTCTTTCTTCTTCTTCTTCTTCTTCTTCTTCTCTTCTTTCTTCTTCTTCTCTTCTTCTTCTTCTCTCTTCTCTCTTCTTCTCTTCTTCTTCTTCTTCTCTTCTCTTCTTCTCTTCTTCTTCTTCTTCTCTTCTTCTTCTTCTCTTCTTCTTCTTCTTCTCTTCTTCTTCTTCTTTCTTCTTCTCTTCTTCTCTTCTTCTTCTTCTCTTCTTCTTCTTCTCTTCTTCTTCTTCTTCTCTTCTTCTTCTCTTCTCTTCTTCTTCTTCTTCTCTTCTTCTTCTTCTCTTCTTCTTTCTTCTTCTTCTTCTTCTCTTCTTCTTCTTTCTTCTTCTTCTTCTCTTCTCTTCTTCTTCTTCTTCTCTTCTTCTTCTCTTCTTCTTCTTCTTCTCTTCTTCTTCTCTTCTTCTTCTCTTCTCTTCTCTTCTTCTTCTCTTCTTCTTCTTCTTCTCTTCTTCTTCTTTCTTCTTCTTCTTCTTCTTCTCTTCTTCTTCTTCTTCTCTCTTCTTCTTCTCTTCTTCTTCTTCTTCTCTTCTCTCTTCTTCTCTTCTCTTCTTCTTCTTCTTCTTCTTCTTCTTCTCTTCTTCTCTTCTTCTTCTCTTCTTCTTCTTCTTCTTCTTCTTCTTCTTCTTCTCTTCTTCTTTTCTTCTCTTCTTCTTCTTCTTCTTCTCTTCTCTTCTTCTTCTCTTCTTCTCTTCTTCTCTTCTTCTTCTTCTTCTTCTTCTTCTTCTTCTTCTTCTTCTTCTTCTTCTTCTTCTCTTCTTTCTTCTTCTTCTTCTTCTTCTCTTCTTCTTCTTCTTCTTCTTCTTCTTCTTCTTCTTCTTCTTCTTCTCTTCTTCTTCTTCTTTTTCTTCTTCTTCTTCTTCTTCTCTTCTTCTTTTTCTTCTTCTCTTCTTCTTCTTCTCTTCTCTTCTTCTTCTCTTCTTCTTCTTCTTCTTCTTCTTCTTCTTCTTCTCTTTCTTCTTCTTCTTCTCTTCTTCTTCTTCTTCTCTTCTTCTTCTTCTTCTCTTCTTCTTCTCTTCTTCTTCTTCTTCTCTTCTTCTTCTTCTTCTTCTCTTCTTCTTCTTCTTCTTCTTCTTCTTCTTCTTCTTCTCTTCTTCTTCTTCTTCTTCTTCTTCTTCTTCTTCTTCTTCTTCTTCTTCTTTCTTCTTCTTCTTCTTCTTCTTCTTCTCTTCTTCTTCTTCTTCTTCTTCTTCTTCTTCTTCTTCTTCTTCTTCTTCTTCTTCTTCTTCTTCTTCTTCTTCTTCTTCTTCTTCTTCTTCTTCTTCTTCTTCTTCTTCTTCTTCTTCTTCTTCTTCTTCTTCTTCTTCTTCTTCTTCTTCTTCTTCTTCTCTTCTTCTTCTTCTTCTTCTCTTCTTCTTCTTCTTCTTCTCTTCTTCTTCTTCTTCTTCTCTTCTTCTTCTTCTTCTTCTTCTTCTTCTCTTCTTCTTCTTCTTCTTCTTCTTCTCTTCTTCTCTTCTTCTTCTTCTTCTTCTTCTTCTCTTCTTCTCTTCTCTTCTTCTTCTCTTCTCTTCTTCTTCTTCTTCTTCTTCTTCTTTCTTCTTCTTCTCTTCTTCTTCTTCTTCTCTTCTTCTCTTCTTCTTCTCTCTCTTCTTCTTCTTCTCTTCTTCTTCTTCTTCTTCTTCTTCTCTTCTTCTCTTCTTCTCTTCTTCTTCTTCTTCTTCTTCTTCTTCTTCTCTTCTCTTCTCTTCTCTTCTCTTCTCTTCTCTTCTCTTCTCTTCTCTTCTCTTCTCTTCTCTCCTCTTCTCTTCTCTTCTCTTCTCTTCTCTTCTCTTCTCTTCTCTTCTCTTCTCTTCTCTTCTCTTCTCTTTCTTCTTCTCTTCTCTTCTCTTCTTCCTCTCCTCTCTCTCTCTCTCCTCTTCTCTCTCCTCTTCTCTCTCCCTCTCTTCCTCTTCTCTCTTCTCTCTCTCTCTCTCCTCTTCTCTCTCCTCTCCTCTCTCCTCTCTCCTCTCTCCTCTCCTCTCCTCTCATATAACTACTATATATAATACAACATATATATATACATACATATATAGCATATATATATACATATATACATACTCATACATAATATACATACATACATATATTATACATGCATATATATATACATAATATATATACATAGTATATACATACATATATATATACATACATTATATATATACATACAATATATATATATACATATATATACATACATATATATACATATATATATACATATATATATATACATTATAATATACATATATATATATACATATATATACATATATATACATAATATACATATATATCATATATATACATACATATATATATACACATACTATACATATAATAGCTATACATAATATACATATATATATATATATATACATATATATATACATTATATATATATATACATATATATATACCATATATATACATATATATATAACATATATATATACATATATATATATATATACATATATATATATATATATACATATATATATACAATATATATATAATTATATATATATACTATACATATACATAATACATATATATATATATATATATATACATAATATATATATATATATATACACTATATATATATACATATATATACATATAATATATACATATATATATACAATATATATGCATATATATATACATATATATACATATATATACATATATATACATATAATATACATTATATATATTACATATATATATAACA